CCCTTACCAAAGCAAAAGTATGGGAAAGATATGGCAAAGTTTGGGCCATATATGACCCATATGTGGGCATGATATGGGACAATATAGGTATCATGTGGGATTGGTATGGTGTCTAAATTTGTTAAATATTGAGATATGGAAAAGCTATGGAAACAAACACATTGCTATTAATCCTATGGGAAATCTGTGGGGTTACTTGGTCCATAGGTAATCCATATCAATGGCATGCTTTTACATATAACCAATTCTATGGGAATTATATGGTAGTCCACACTTGGTTGTCCCATATACTTCCCATACCTATGGGAATTATATGGTAGTACACACTTGGTTGTCCCATATAATTCCCATATATGGGAATTATATGGTAGTCCACACTTGGTTGTGCCATATACTTCCCATATATATGGGAATTATATGGAGTCTGAACTTGGTGTGGTTCTGGCCTCCAATAGAGAATCCATACATATGCATATGATTTCTATGGCAATGCTATGCCAACACGTACGAAAATTTCCTATAGGAATTCCTATAAGAAATGAAATTCCTATAGGATTTGAAAATTCCTATAAGAATTCATATAAGATTTGAAAATGACGTTTGATTTATTTCGTCCTGCAGATGGTGGAAGTTGTAGAAGGATCTGTCATGTTCTGGAATTGCCACCAGTGGGCATATTGCTCTGCAAGATTTTCTAATGAAGACCCTACACCAAGTCAGGTGATACAAAAAAATAAACATGAAAAGTGTAGAAGCCAGGCATCCACAAAGAGTTTGAATAGTCTGTAGTCAATCCCACAAGAGAGGACTGAGGACATTATAGATACCGATACATTTATATGTACTCCACGAGAGAGGACTGAGGACATTATAGATACCGATACATTTATATAGATCAATAAGCACTTAGCAATTGACATTATTGCATGTTTGTATATATAGTTATACCATGGTAATTTAGTTAGACAAACTTTGCAAGTTCATTAAGAAATAGTAAATTAGTTAGCAATTTTGTAATTATTTGTTTATTTATTAACTATGTTATTTATTTGTGTATTGTGTTTTTGAAGATTTTTTGCATGTTAATTAATAAAACTATGTATGCCACCAGTACAATTTTCTTGAGCTGTAGCAAGTATATTTGGAATGGTATGGCCACTTGTTTTCATCCCATACCAAACCCACACGTGTTAGCATCTAGCATTTGGATGTTAGATGTTAACATGGGTTTGGTATGGGATGAAAACAAGTGCCCATACCATTCCCAATATAATATAATTGTTGCAACCATATCATTCCCATAGTTTATACATCAAGAACCATATGAATTCCATATCATGTTCCCAGATCATTCCCATATAGAATCCTATCTTACCCATAGCAAAGTTGTTATGAAATGATATAAGGAAACCATGTATTTCCCATAGTAAGTGATATGGGATATGTATGGATTTGTACCAAATACGTATCAAACCCATATCAAAAACATGATATGGGTATGCTATGAAGGCAACCAGGCCACACCAAAGCCATATACTTCCCATATATGGCCCATAGGTTGAACCATATCAATCCCATAGTTTATACATCACGAACCATATGAATTCCATATCACGTTCCCAGATCATTCCCATATAGAATCCTATCTTACCCATAGCAAAGTTGTTATGAAATGATATAAGGAACCCATGTATTTTCCATAGTAAGTCATATGGGATATGTATGGATTTGTACCAAATACGTATCAAACCCATATCAAAAACATGATATGGGTATGCTATGAAGGCAACCAGGCCACACCAAAGCCATATACTTCCCATATATGGCCCATAGGTTGAACCATATCAATCCCATAGTTGGTCCATATATGTCCCATATAATTTGGTTTTGTAAGGGAACCTATCGCCACCATTACTGTGGTTAAAAATAGCCCAATCTTTATTCCAGTAACTCCCATTTGGCTAATTATTCTAGTGTAGTATTTGTGAGATCTCTTAATTATCACCTTTCCAGTGTTTGGGTCTTCTACCAAAAAATCACATTCCTGCACACCATCCTTAATTTTTTTGTTCCTGATTTTAAATGGGCATTTAATTTCAATAACTGCATCTCCATGGTAAGCACATGAAAATATGCCATCCAGAGAAACTGCAATATAAGGCTTATTAGGGTCAATGAACAAACCACAAGTTGTCACCTTATACTTTTTGTTGTTTCATTGCTTCTTGAACGTAGAATCGTTTCAGTCCTACTTCTTCATGCAGTCTTCCCCATTTTATGGGATCAAGATTGTCAATGTTTCCATCATGAAACAGTATTTTTTTCACAAGTGGGGTAGTTTTTGGTTTCACAATACTGGATGATTTAGCAACACTGTTAACTTTAGTATATATCTCATGATGGTTTGAAGCAGTCAGCCATCCAATTCTGGCTTCTTTCCACAGTTCATTTACACTTTGCCCTCTTGTTTTAACCTCCAATTTACTTGCTATATCTGTATTTGTTGGCAAAGATTCCAAAAATTTTGACACTTTTTCATCATCATCATTGAATTCTTCACAAATGCTTTTGGCAATCTTATGAAGTGACAATTTATCATCCTCATCTTTCAGTATGTCCACCGGTATGCAACAAAAAACAACAGATTCTGGTGAAACTTGTTGCAAATTCTGATACAAACATGAAATTGACTCATCTGTAATTTTTTGGTAAGCTGGGGGAATTGGATTGAATTTATGTAGCTCTTTTCGTCTCGTTTCTTCCTTGCTGGTTTCATCATCCTTTTCTTTGGATCTCAGTTTTTTCCTGAATTAATGTCTTTTATCATCTTAGGTGCAATCCCTCTATTTGTTGACTGATTCCAAGCGCAAGGCATTGATGTGCATGCAGGGTCTAAATAGCCCTTTCTCATAGCATACTCCACTTTGTACATAACTGCAATCGAATGATTGCAAAATTGGCTTGTTCCAGCCATACAACTACACCAGCATAAGTTTGGCACGAGGGGTTGATAAGCAAATTGAAATTTATTGGAATCAAAGGTACATTACTAAAATGGCTGGAGAGCTATCTCTCTAATCATTTTCAAAGAGTAGTTGTTAAGGGGACCAATTCGACCTGGGAAAAAGTCAAGGTTGCAGTACCCCAAGGCAGTGTTCTTGGGCCACTCCTGTTTCTGATTTACATCAATGATATTACTAATGACATACAATCTGAGGCTTTTTTATTTGCTGACGACACTATGATTTTAGATGTGGTAGATTCTCCAACAACTTCTGCTGTTAAGCTTAATACTGATATTGCATCTATATCTAGTTGGGCCGATAAATAGATGGTAACCATGAATCCCAGTAAAACACAATCGATGATTTTTTCTGTTAAGAATAACAAGCCTGATCACCCTAGACTTTTGTTAAATCAAGCGACTATACCAGACGTTAATTTGCATTGTCATTTAGGCATTAATCTTTCAAGTGATCTCTCCTGGCAAAATCACATATGTGTCATTAGCGAAAGAGCGGCCAAAAGATTCAATATGTTAAAAGGTTTGAGATTTCGTCTGAACAGAACTACATTAAATAGCATGTATATTTCTTTAGTTAGACCTTTAATGGAATATGGTGATTTTATATGGGATGGTTGTGGGGTAGAGTGCAGTAATGCTCTCGAAAGAATTCAATTTGATGCAGCTCGCCTTGTTACTGGTGCTATAAAAGGCACTAACCGTGTAGCTCTGCTAGAAGAACTCTCTTGGGATAAATTAGAAACCAGACGATATATTCACAAATTGTCAGTTTTATACAAAATTAAGAACAGAATGGTTCCTGACTATCTTTATTTTGTTTTACTAAAGCCGGTATCTCAAATATCCAATTATCCACTCTGCAACAGTGATGATATATGCAATTTTCTATGTTCTTCATCTAGATTTCAACAGTCGTTCTTTCCATCGGCTATATCTGCTTGGAATTCCTTATCTGATTCAATTAGAAATTTGCCGTCTGTTACTAATTTTAAAATTTCAATTAAGAGTCTATTTTGTAAAAAAAAGTGTCCGAAGATTTTCGAAGTCGATGCTAGGTATCCTTCAGTTTTACACACGAGACTTCGGTTAGGTAATAGTATTTTAAATGATGACCTTTTCCGTCATAATTGTATACTGTTTCCTACATGTGCGTGCGGATACCATCGTGAAACTACTGAACATTATTTGTTGCATTGCCCGCTTTGGGATACTTACCATTCGATTTTACTTACTACGGCTGCAGAATGTCTTGGGAATTATTGGTTCAATTCTAATAGAACTGGGAAACTTTCTTTTTTGCTTTCTGGATGTAATAATGTTGCTTTTAATGTAAACCATAGATTGTTTTTTGCTGTACAAAGATTTATTATTGATACATCTCGTTTCTCAGCTCGTAAATAAGGTAAAAAAATATTATTGTCAGTACCTGTTTAACTGTAACAAGCTGTCTGAGGTACTAGAAAATTCTCGATGTTTGTGTTTCTGAGGGCTTGTTGCAGTAGGTAATTAATGTGTTTCAAAGCGATGATCTGATTGTGATATATTCAAAACGCTATAATTATTGATGTTGTGTGATTGTGTTATATTTGTGTGTTGCATGCTTGAACTTTTTGATATGTAAATCTTTATTTTTGTGCAAGAGCCCCCTAGATGAGCCAATGTGTTCTCCTGGGGCAATTGCACCAAATAAATATGTTTAAACTAACCACACCAGCATGTCAAAATTTGGACCGGTTCTTTCTCAACTAAAATCCACAGAGTGTGGCTGGCAGATGCAGTCAGTGAACTCCTAACACTTCCATATAGAAAGATGTTATTCTGTTTCTCTGGGGGCTCATATGTGAATATGGTGCTAACAAAACCAGAGTTCCAATACGAATATGTCTTCTGGTCTTTATAACGACCCACATACTCTGCATCAAAGTCCCTGACTTTTAAAATATATGCAAAAATGGAACCGCAATCAAGTTTGGGCCATTTATTTAGTAATATCATCAGTTCTTTTGGACTCTTCTATACTCAATGGATCACAGATCTTAAATTTGTTTAACCTACTTTCGTATTTATTTATCTTGGCCTGTTGTTCTTCAGATGACTGTATGATCGGTAAACTGCACTGAACACCCGCACAACCAACTCAACTTTTCTCCCCGAAGTTTTCAAACCACGAACAGCAAGAAAATCGACCAAATTATTCAACCCCAAGGCCATGAAATCTTCCAGTTTACTGAGCGATCCACATTTTGATGTTGACGCTGCCATTTTGAATTTTTAATTGCCCCACTTACAAGATGGCATCGCGAACCCTGAAAAAGCGTACAGCATTAAGAAAGTTTGCTGATTATAATGATAAGGACAGGATGGGTTCTTGATTAACAAGCTTTTTGCAAAATAAACTAAAAATAACATATTTGAAGTCAGACAATATAGTTTTACAGAAAATCTGTATTGAAAATATACAATAATTAAGATTTAAAGTTTGTATAATATAATGACCATTGTAAGCAGTAAAGACTTTAAAAAGGTGTACAATAGTGTTTGGAGAAAAGGTCTTTTGTATGTTTAAGCTTATTCCATGTGGTAGCAGCAAAACATTTTTACGATTTATATCAAATATGTATTCCTCCGTAAATTCAGGGACGCCGGAACTAGGGGGGGGGCAGGAGGGGCAGCCACCCCTGTTGCCCTTTACCAGGAGGGGCAAGGGGGGCAAAGGTGCCCTTTAAATTTAAAGGATTGCCTTGGTGAAATAGCAAATTGTCAGAAATGTTCGTGCAATTATTTTACAAATTTGCTTCAGAAAACGCAAGAAATGCAGTCATCGAGCTTCAAGAATAGCACAATCGCCTGGCGGAGAACCCCCTCACACCCCTATCATCCAATAAATAGAAAACATGATTAGGTGAAGTTCAACTCTTAGTATATATCAATTCAAAAGTGCCCTTTCACAAAAATCTGCCCCCCCCCTTGCCTTCACATCATTCCGGCATCCCTGCGTAAAGTACTCAGTTAAATTGAAAGATGGAGTAACTCCTCCTTTTCAATCTGATATTGGTTTAAAACAAGGGTGCAATCTTAGTCCTATACTCTATTTAATATATTTAAAAATGATTTATCAAATTTGTTCAATCAATCATGCAACCCTGTTAGACATGGTAAAACAGACTTAATATTAACAAAAAGAAATCTAAAATTTTAATATTCGGCACAGCAAATCAGAGACACTCGTATTTGCTGACAAAATGGTATGAGAAAAAAAGCCCTGGAAAAAGTAGATGAATATTGCTATCTTGGAATTACTATTCATTTATCTGGAAATTTTAAGAGAGCCCTAAAAGTCTTACATGATAAAGCTTTAAGAGCATACAATAACTTTTTTAAAAATTTTTCTAATTTTAAAAAGGTACCAGTAAAAATACTTTGAAAACTATTTTCAGTGATGATAATCCCCATTTTGTTATATGATGTGAAATTTGGGGACCTTATTTGATAGGTAAACTACCTTTGCGATCTTTAAAAGTAAATTCTTCAAAATTATCATTGAAGGGCAAGGGGGTCTCGTCACGAAATCACGAAGATCATTTTTCGATTTCACGAGTCACGAAAAACAAAATTTCGTTTTCACAATTTTTAGAAATACAGAAAGGTAACAATGTCTGAAACTCGATTTTCTAGACAGCAGAAGTCGATGTTAACACAAACACTTTTTATTGACTTTAACATTAGCGCTTTTAAAGGACTATGGAAATCATTGCGAGGCATTACAAAACATTACAAGCGTCTTACCATGGTTCACGAAGTCTACGAAGAGGTAGGAAGGTATACGATAACAACGTTTACAATGAAACGAAGAAATCTGAAGAAAGACAACCGCGGGAAGCAAATATATTCATTTTTTCCCCACAATATTAAATTTGGGCCGAGTTTTAAACGTAACCATTCACAAGTTAAGGTAAAATATTGGTAAATTCAAGACCCTAGCTAGCATTTTAGCTCTTCATGATTCACAGCACGCATGTTAGTCACAATTCACGGAATGGTATTTCTTTAAATCACGAAGCACAAATAATGGCTAATCACGAGTCACAAAAATACCCTTGCCCAACTCATTGGGGTGAAAGAATTCATTTAAAATTCTGCAAACAAATTCTTGGCATGCACTCAAAAACAACAAATTTGACTATTTATGCCGAATTAGGAAAGTTCCTTTGATTGTTCAAATTTCTACTCTTGTAGTTAAATACTGGATTCGTATAAGCAGTACATATTTTAATAATATGTTAGCTGGTGAAGCTAGAAACATTTGCATGTGTTTGAGTCTAAAACCAATAGTTTTCATACAATATTTGCCGAAAATGTGTAAATTAGAGATGAAGGACTTTGAAAAATTTTCAAACTCCAGTGATGAATCAACCAAAACAAGACAACATTTTTGCCATTATTTAAATGTTACACTAAATGACGAATTTACCTCATTTTGGAAAGACCAGGTTCTTGAAAATGGTGATAGTGGTAAATTGAAAGAATATAAGAAACTTAAAGTAAATGTGGGCATTGAAAAATACCTTTTAGAAATTAAAAATTTTGAGTACCATCAAGCAGTTACAAGATTACCAGTAGAAATTGCCTACTGTGATAGAAAATGTAAACATTGTGACCAGGGTGAATTTGGAAATGAGCAACATTACCTAATGTCATGTGGTAACACAATGTTTACATTTTTACGGCAGAATTTTATTAATTCTGTTTATAAAATTAACCAATCATTTAAATATTTTGATACACAAAGTTTGTTCCAATATATACTAAGTATATGAAAGATAGAAATATTCTGAAATTATCTTCAAAATATTGCTACGATATACCAAGACATTTTGATATATTGCATGAGTTAGTCTGAACAAATTATTTGTAAGTTTATATACTGTAATGTCTTTTTTATATTTTGTAACTAATGAGTAATGTGTATGTAGGTATTCAATGTACCAATATCGGTATTTGTTTGAATAAAGTTTTGTTATCTGTATGATGCGGCTAGTTTATATATAATATGATATTATAAAATAGCCTTTTAAAAACACAGGTGCTGATTGGGCAAAAGCTCAAAAAACCTGTATTTCTGGAACTTGTGGATTGCACAGGAGTTTAAAGATGATGTCCACTTGTGTGTGAATTTTGTTTACGTTTTGAACTGCTATATTTGTAAAATATGATATACTAACTGAATATCTAACACTTTTCTGGTTCACCATGCTTGTAAATTAATATAAACTCTATGTTTCAATTCAAAAAAGTTCAAAAGATGCAAAATTTGGGCAATGTTTATATCTGGGATCCCCATTTGTTATGAGCAGAACTGAGTGGACATAATAGGATAGTTCAAAAATAGGTCAATAAGTGTAAAATTACGAATTATACTTAATTGTAACAAAGTTGCAAAACCTTTCAGTAAATATAAGCGGTGCAGGAGGATTGCTGTTTCGCAGGCAATAGTTATGGACGGGTTCATGCAGTGTTTCTTTAAGAATATTTACCAGCGGGGTTGCAAAAGGTTGACTTGCAGGCATCGCCTCTGCGATCAATTAATATATCAAATCCGGTAGTATCCAGCGCATCGGCATATGACAAGTCAGGATAGATGATTTTAAGAGCACGACGTTGAATGGACTCAATTTCATTGAGTTTCAATATTGTGCGAGCCAGCGAGCCATGCGAGCCAAGGTGCGAGCCATGCGAGCCAGAGTGCGAGCCATGCGAGCCAGGGTGCGAGCCATGCGAGCCATGCGAGCCATGCGCCAGAGTGCAAGCCACACGAGCCAAGGTGCGAGCCATTATTTAAATGGTTAACGAGTGAAATGTAATGAGTAAAATAATAGACAAAATTCAGAAACGAAATATAAACATAATCAAGAACCCAATTTCAATTACAGGAATTTTATAACTCAAATAACTCAATTACAAATTATCTGAAGGTGTTTTAAGATCTAATGGACAACCTGCATGTTAATAAACCAAATTAAAACCCAAGGAAAGAGAAGGGAATCAAATACCACAGCTAAAAAGAACATAATGAAATTAGCAAAATCGCAAAATTCGGCCGCAAAATGTTGCAAACCCTGGTAAACACAGTCCTGCAAAGTTTGCAAGCCTTGCATATGTTTGTATTATGTGCGGAAGTTGTTAGCATTTTCGGCAAATACAATATTGTAACATATACAAAACAATCATGCATGCAAACCCCGCAAGGCTACACCTTCCGTATTCTACAACAATTCGCACTAACCAAACTTTGCATTTTCACCAGTTTTAACAAGTTCTTTACGGGAAGTTACTTTTTTACTTACAATCATAGACAAATTTACTCGGACAAACATGGCAAATAAATTATTTTTTTAAACATTTTCATATATACTTCGTAAGGTCGGTCCCCCCTCCCCTGAAACAATGTTGATCACTTCAGTCATTATGGCAACTATTGCCGTATTGCGGTATCTGTAGCAACAACATTGTAACGGGGGAGCGGGGAATACGGCTGACTAGTCGTGTAATTATTTGTGACGGGGAGCGGGGAATACGGCTGAATATGCGTATAATTAATTGATTGCTTTAAATTCCAGACATTTTTAATCAGCGTCCGCATGTTATTTGTCTAGAATTGTAGATCAAAAATTAGTCTAACACGCAAGTTGCTTATTGTGTCCTGGAGATAAGATGTACTCAGTACCATTTGGTCAAGACCAATTTCTTATATTTATTTATTGCACATGGCTCGCACACATCGCGTGGCTCGCACCGATCTGTGGTGACTCGCAACATCGGCATGGCTCGCTGGCTCGCACTTTATGTATACCCAATTTCATTCGACAACGTGGATGACAACGTAGCCCACGAAGGTGACACATATTCCAAAAGCTAACATATAAAGGAGCAATAAACTGTTGCCAAATCAGATTGCTTCAGACCAGCTTTACATAACTTGTGGAGGGAATATAATCGCGAATTTGCCTGTTTCATTATATAGTCGGCATGTACATTCCAGGCAAGATCGTTAGACAAGTTGACACCAAGTAGTAGGGGAGGGTACACATAATAACAAGGCCGTAACTTCAAATGACTGTAGCATCCAAGATGGCCATTATAACATTAAGAAAGTATACATCAGGTTAAAGCTTATGATTCACAGATTCTGAAAATGATAATTTTTTTCTAAAACCATTTGTAACCCGATACCAGCATATTACATGGAACACATGCTGTGCGAAATCAAGGTGTATATGAGAAAAGATATCTTGTTGTAAATTGCTGCAATTTTCAAAGTGATTGCATTTCTAGGGAGCATAGACATGGTTGTCTGGGATGAGCATAGACATGGTTGTCTGGGATGAGCATAGAACTTTTTAGTGTGATAAAAATTGCGGCCACAGCGGCGCTTCAAATTTCATGTAAATTTCAGCAGGGTCATTTTTCTCAATAATTTTATTTCTATGCAGATATAAAGAAGTTCTATGCTCATCTCACAAATCATGAAGAGAAGAAAAGGCACAGAAAATTTCAGCTCAATCCAATCAAAACTCTAGGAGATATCCTTTCTCAACTGCAAAAAATCCATGTTTTGAGAAAATCCACTTTAAAGTTTGCAAACAACATTAAATGTCAATAAGAGTAGATTATACCTTGATTTCCATGGAATTCAGCCATGAAAAGTTATTCTACCGGGTGTCCCAAAAAAAAGTACTCCTGTTTGATTCGTAATAACTTCTAAACAAGTAGAGCTTTTAAAGAGAAATAACTTGCATTAAATAGAGGAAGGACTAACTTAGATTTTGATATATTACAGTTGTATTTTACTTAAAAAGTCACCGAGATATCAATGTTCAAAATCCGGAGCATATTTTGGGATGTGTCTAAAATTAGCGAAAATCAGCATATCAAATATTAATTCCAGCGTTTGTTTGCTTAATGACATATCCGGCTAATTTGTATTTCAGCGAATTGTCGTTAGGGTTTGTAAGGGATATGGCGTAGATTTAGACATCTTACATGTAAGTCTTAGCTCATTGTTTCCTGAAATATGAACTTCGAAATTATGCAAGTATTTAATAGGTCTTTACAAATTTAAAGGTACATGAAAGACCATGGAAGGCAGGCACTTAAATTTTTCTTAAATAGCATAATTTTTTTATGTTTTTAATGGGTTCAAACAGACTGAGTTGATTATTTCTCGGTTAGAGCAGGATGAATATTATTCTTTATTGAAAGAAGTAATATTGCTTTTTGCAAATACGCATCACCGCGTATCAATGCTACTATTTTGTTACGTTTTATTCCAAAAATGTTGCATGTCTCTGGGGAGTTGCTTAATAATTGTTATGTCTTATGAAGTATTATGGTTTGATTGTGTTTCATATAATTTTCAGTTTACTCTGAACTTGCCAAGATTAAGAAAAGGCAAAAGAGTTTGGGTGTTCTTAACAAGATTTCATGCAGAACGTTGCAGAATTTAGAAGAGCTTCTGTCACAATTCCATTGTGACAGCATCCCTAAATCAGAACTACGAACGATCGATGACAATCCTTCGCGATGCAGTGATCTCATGAAATAAGGAAACGTATTCGTGCTAGGAACACACGCGAAATTTCGGACGAATAAATCTTGCTTGTATTTTGTACATATAATAATACTTTGTTTCATAATAAACAATTTGTCAAGTGTCATTTATTTACTGGTAATAGTGCATGTTTCAGTCGGGCAAATCTTGATTAATATTTGATATGCCGTTTTTTGCATGTTTCAGACAAATCGAGAAATATGCTCCCGATTTTAAACATTAATATCTCCGTGAATTTCAAGTAAAATACAACTGTAATATATCAAAATCTAAGTTAATCCTTCCTCTATTGAATTCAAGTTATTTCTCTTTCAAAGCCTTACTTCTTTAGAAGTTATTACGAATCAAACAGGAGTACTTTTTTTTGGGACACCCGGTAGTTTATTAACTAGGGATCCAAGGATAGTGTGAAGTTTCAAATTGAAAACGTCACTGCAATAACTGTATCACTTACAGTTGCATATTTTATTTACAGTATTTCAGCACCACTTTCGGAGCGACAGGCTTGTGTTGCAGATCGGAAGAACAATTACCTTGTGCGAGTCGTGACACATGACCTACAAGGCTATAGGCTAAGCTAATACTATTATAATCCCTGATCTTTGGTTGTAGCCTCACGTTTCACACGAGTTGTGGACGGCTCTAGTATTTTTATTGACTATGCTGTAAGCAAATAAAATGTCGAATGGGAGGCAGTTCTGTATTTCGCAATTTAATGTCCGTAATCAGGTTTACATGAATCTTCGTGAGAGAAGATATTATTAACGTTAGTTCGACAAAGAATCAGTTTGCATATTAGTATAGTCTATAGCTTTTGTCTTTTTGATATCAGGAGGTGACAGTCGATAACCAGGCTACGTCATTTGAAATGTTTATTTCTTGCCATATATTTTCGTTTCTTGTTGGTTGAATGATGATCGTGGCTTCAACGTAATATGTTTTTCTTCTCTTTTCTCTCAGTTCAGATCACACATTTAAGTTAATCATGGGCGTTGTGCAGTTCTCTTGTAATTTTACTGTGATGACTGACAGTTCACAATATATGGTTGGGATATGTGCTGACTTAATGTTGTTGCTATTGGTGCGAACTTGGAAGTCGGTAATTTCGGAAATTGTTAGCCATACTTTGAGGGTTGAATGTTTGAGGTTCCTATAATCTTCATTCAATATGGTCATGATGTCACTAAAATAAGGATGAAAAGAAAATTAAATGAGTACAAGAATACTGTAGCTATATACACAGTGTCGTAAATCGCGAAGGGAGTCAATTAAAAATATATAAAATTCATTAAAACTCACCTTCTTAAAGCTTTGGAGTCACAGCGAGACTGCTTTCAGCGAGACTTCTTCTGCCGCTATAGTAAGTAGCGACGTTGACCCCTCGGAAATCGAGGGGGTAATCCAGTGGTGTTCCAGTCAGCACTGGGTCTGAGTCCATTTGAGTTGATAAAAGATTTTATGGCTATGAATTGATTGTATATGACTCTATATCACTATGTTCTGATATGTTCTATTAAACATTGTATCTTTGTTCTCCATGATTTCTAAGATCGTTCTGACTTGAAGATTAACTTGAAGCTTGTCGATATTGGGATGCAGTTTATACGTCAGTATATTAAATTTTAACTTCTGGAACTCTTCATTTATTTATTAATAAAAAATATCAAATAAGTGACACGAAAATAGGCTTATGGTCGCTAAAGTACGATTCTAAAACACCACTACTTTTTACTCTTTCAGGGATATTAGTGTATATGTGATCAATTTGTGTTTTATAGTCAGTTGTCACTTGGCTAATAAGTTGCACGTATTGCTTTTCTTCGATTAAATATTTAGAAAGTGTATTTTTGTCGGATGCATTTTCAAAAAGGTTAACATTAAAATCACCAACGATGATAACAGGAGTATTTGGGTCATTTATATACGTGGAGTGCAAATGTTTTAAAGCATCTACGAACATTGAAATTTTTACTTTTGATTTAGAGCGATAAATTCCTACAACATGTAAATTATTTACTGGATGGTTTACTTTGAGTAATGTCATTTCTACATGATTATAGTTGCACCTTGAAGGTTCTAAGATGAGTTGTATATTGTCTTTTACGTAAGCAGCAGTTCCGTAAGGTGTTCTAGCACCATCTGGGATGAAGTCATTTCTGAATAGTTGAAATCCTGGAATCTGATACAATTCATTGTCGTCATTACTACATAGAGCAGTTTCTACAAATATATTAATATCTGCTGCTTTTACACTATAGTCACTCGCAACGTCAGCAACGTGAAGATGTAATGATCTCACATTCTGGAATAATATTTTAAATGTCTCACTAGTATCTTTATAGAGAAATGGAAGATGACTTTTAAGTACAGAATTTTGTCTTAGTCTTGTCATTTCTTCTTGTACCTTCTTGCTCACAGCTATTTTCTTTTCGTTCAGATTAAGAATATGTAATCCCAAAATGCTTCTAAGTCTGCTAAGAGCAACGTAATGCATATGCTCTCGCTTTAACGATGGAAGGTCAACAACGGCTTCATTTAATGTATCTCCTTGACAACGGTGAATAGTTTTGGCTGCAGATGGTCTTAAAGGAAACTGTCTGCGAAGAACTTGTATTTTATTTTTTGTAAACTGTCTTTTTACCTCAAGAATTGGAACCCAATTTTTTTCTATACTTTGATTGTAAAGATAAGAGTATTCTCTGCGATAATCATTCCCAATATGTTGTTCTTGAAATAAAACCCAGATAATACTTGGTCTTGATGAACCTTCTACTCGGTAATCGATTTTCTTGATGATACATTCAGCACCATTAGTCATACCATCTAAAACTGACACGTTTGTCGTGAGGTCATATTTTGCTTCCTTAAGTATTGAACATACTGAGTACAAGCCCATGGTTTTCGAAGGATCGTTTGGGATTTGTTTTTTGAGTCTTTCTTTTAAGTCGTCAGATAAATCTCCAAGTACAATGTCTATTGCTTTAATGTCGACCTTCTCGTTTGAAGATTTCTGGAAAACGTCATGATTATGTTGATCAACTGCCATATTAGTACTGAATAAATGGGTTAAAGATATTGGATAATCAGGATGTTGTGGACTAATGTTTAAAATTCTTTCTTTCAAAACTTCAATGTCAGCTTCAGTATGATTTCCTTCTCTTATACGATTTAAAATTTCAGCAAATTCTTTGTCTTCCCTTTGTCTCATAACCTCAGATAATTCAAACATTTGAAAATATTTTTGCCAGAGATTTGTTGCTAATGCAGCATAACCATCCTTTGAATTCTCAAATATCCAATTATCGAACACGGGTTTCAGTTGAAATAAGTCGCCAACTGTTATTATGCTAAGACCGCCAAATGGTTCTTTTGTACCCATGATTTGTTGCAATCGTAAGTCAAGAAAATTAAACATAGCACTTCCTACCATAGATATCTCGTCAATAAAAATAACTTGCATTCTCTGTAACTGAGATCTTATTGTATTCAATCTGTCTCTATCTAGTGTACAATAATTGAATCCTCTGTTTGCAGGAATTTTAAAGGCGGAATGAAGTGTATTTCCTCTTATGTTGAAAGCAGCTTTGCCTGTTGGGGCTACTTTTACAACACTGACATCATCAGGATCATTCTGAGGTTGAGAATTTAAGTATCTTATGAGAGCTTCATACAAAGCATTAGTGACAGTACTTTTACCTACACCAGCACCTCCGCTTAAAAACAGTCTCATTGGCAGCTTATCAGTTTTGACAGAGTTCAGTACATGGTAAAAAAACTCTTTTTGTTCAACATTAAGTGATTGGACAAGTTTTCTAAAATCGGCATCACTCAGTCTTTTTACAACAAGTTCTTCATCATCATTTGTTCGTGGATATATACCAATATCATTTATCAGGTCGTATTGGGCATGTTGTTTATCTTTTCCAGGATCGAAGCATCCGAATAATTCACTTGCTTTTGGCCCAATTTCTCTGTCTTGTTCATCTCTATACTGCGTATTCGGAGCGACTAGATTTTCTTCACTTTCAATATCTTGTACTGCCTGATCAAGAACTTCGGTGTGATTCTCGTATTGTTTTCTGTTTTGTTCTATCACATCTTTGATAATTTCATATCGATCCTGGTAAGTTTCAAAGTCTTTCAGAAGATCTGTATTTTCATTTCTCCAAGCGGTGTAAAGCATTATCTGTTCTCTACAATAATTTTCTGGATCTTTGGTTTTATTAAATCTAACCGACCGTATGATTCTTGGCTTTTGTCTCTTCACGAGCGTCATTCCACCTTTCATTTCATATTCATCATTTTCATCATTTTCAAATATTTTCTGTTCTTTATCAGAAAGATCATCATCTACATTATCATCGAAATTACTCTCTGTAAGATAATCATCTATTAATGGTGAATTTGATTTAAGTTTGCTTTTTTGATTACTGTCACTTTTACAATTGAACCAAGCCACAAAATCAGCCAGACATAAATTTTCCAATTTCTTCGGTCTTCTCTGATATCTTTTAATAATGTTATCTGATTCAATATCAACAGAATGATCAGGAAGTTCTTTAATTTTATCCATACTTTTTAACAAGAATGTTCTTTCATGTGGGTCAGATGTATTGATAAATTGGAATTCTCGAGACGATCGTCTCAAAGGCATTTGCATTACTAAGTAGACAGCCTCTTGTGCACTTATTTCAACAGCATTGAGAAATTTGTTACCAATATGTCTCACCTTGTTAACAATATTCTTATTGCCTTCTTTTGCTTCTTCACATGCTTTACGAAGTAACTTGCTCATTCCTCTTTGACCTTTAGTAATATATGAAAGGATATAAACAGCACAAGCATAAGGATCTAATACGTACTGAATATCCATATTAGCTTTCCAAGCTCTGAGTAAGTTTGGATTATAACAGTTGATTCTAATCTCAGCTGGCGATCGTTTCAATAACAAAGTGTTATGTTTAAGAGAAAGCCGTATAGCCTTTAGATATTGCTGTTCTGATAAATCTAACTTTTTGAGAAATTCATCAAAGGTCATGGTTTCATCAGCTTTAATAGAGTCTAATAATGAACGTATCTGTCCTAAAGCTTTCTTTAATATATCTGCAACATTTTCCTCTAGATCAGTCTCAGACAAAGGCTCTAAAATCATAGTTCTCGGCATTGGCGGTAAAGGAAAGTTAAATCTGCAAACAGCATTTCCTCTTTTCTTGCATGTTTTAGAGTGTTTGTGCCTTTGTAAATTTACGAGTTCAGTTAAATCATCTGAGTCAGCTTTACATGAAACGTAGCTATCTACAAAATTGGTAATATCTTCGTCGGAATCTTTACCATACTCAGGTGCATTTTTTATCCAGAATAATCCATGGATATGTGGAGAACCTCTTTGCTGGAATTCAACACGATAGAAAAAGTCAACAACTTCTCCAATTGGATGGCATGAACTTTTAATAAAATTGTGAATAAATTGTTGCACCATATGTTCAAAATTTCGAGCACATGTTACTGGATCTTTCTGTATCAGTTCAGACTTCTTTTGCCAAGTCATTTGCTTAACCTCATCGTCAGTATAGTGTTTGTTGTCAATAAGACGACCAAGAATTTTAATCAAATGAATCCAACGCGTTTCAGCAGCTGAAAATGAACAGAACCATGTAGGTTTACCAAGCTGACGAATCATTGCAAATAGATCCTTCTTACATCTTTCAAAGTATGGAGGGGAACCGCGTAAATTTCTTAAAACTCTGAATCCTTCATCTAAATTGATTAGCTTATTAACAGAACTTTCAGACTTCAAATCCCCTGCTGTGTACGTTTTACCTTTGGTTTTACATTTACGCAATGATAAACTTGCACTTCCTTGGATTTGTCTGATCTGTAATTTTTTTAATTTATAAAAAATGTTTGGCACAGATTGAGCAACTCTTCGATCTCGACTTCGTAATTCCCATTTACAAATTGTACTATAGTGAACAGGAACAAGTCTTTCACTGTTATCAGCTTGACGTTTGCCACAGTAAATGGTAGGGAAAGACAAAAATTCAGCATCTTTATCTATAAATATACCAAGTGGTCTATTTCCTTCTCCTGGTGCAAAACTGATTATTTTATCACCATCTTGAGTAATGTCAGGTTCTTGTAATAATGTATCCATAACACCTGATGGTCGTTCAGTTACTTCACACCATTCATCATCAGTGTCATTGTCAACGGAGTCGTTACTTACTCGTGTCTCCACTGTTTCTTGATTTTCAATATTCAAATCGTTTGACAGATTATCTGAAGTCTCCTTAGTATTCTTGGCAATAAATTCTGACCACTCTTCGTCCTTATTGACTGGATTTGACACATAATTATCCATTACTTGTATTCCTTCATTTTTGAATATTTCACTAGTGCGAACCAAGTATTGAGCTGCATCTAAAACTTTTGTAGGTCTAACGTTCTGAAATTGATAATGGTGTTTATAACCAAGCCGTCGTTTCAATTTTATTGGAATAGTTTGTGACTCGTTAATTGGTCTTGGTAAAACACTAACAGTTGTGTTAACATCAGCAGGAACATTAACTACATTCCCATGAATACTTAATTGACCTCCACTAGGCAATTCCCGTACCTGCATAAAAGGTATTCTCGGCGAAATTAGTCTTTCTTCAAGAGGTGTTAAATTTTCTAAAACCTCGGGCTTTTCTGGGAAAGTCATTTTGTTTGCCTTTGAGCAACTTGGAAGTTTACCAACTTTTAAGTTTGAGTGACATGTACCACATATCCATTCAGTGTTATCAATGCTTTTTAGACCAGTAAGACATATTTTAAGGATTTCTTTTGAACAAGATTTATATAAAGAAACATTGCACTCAGTGACAGATGATCTATACCATAATTGGTCGCAACAGGTGCAAATATATTCTGGTCCAACACTAATGTTCTTATGAAATAACTCAATTGCCTTTGTTACGTCGATTTCTTGTCTCGAATCATCAGAGTTACCAGGTATTTGCAGAGTTTCGCATGAATTGTCATTCGAATTGTCTACTTTATTGTATTTAATCATCTTAGTTTCACTTTCACCACATTCTAACTTTCTTTTAAGATATTTCCTTTTTTGAGTATCCTTAACTCTTTCCGAATAGTTCTGCTTGTACGTAATATTTGACAATTTTGACAATTCCGCAACCTTTCTAAGATTTAATTTTTTGTATGTTGCAGTGGCTGTTTTATTTGATTCTTTGACCTTTTCAGGATTTGATTGTCTGTATGTTGCAGTAGCTGTCTTACAACTCTTTTTTACTCTTTCAGGGTTTGATTGTCTGTATGTTGCACTGGCTGTCTTACAAATCTCTTTTACTTTTTCAGGATTTGATTGTCTGTATGTTGCATTGGCTATCTTAAAGCTCTCTTTTACTTTTTCAGGATTTGATTGTCTGTATGCTGCAGTGGCTGTCTTACAACTCTCTTTTACTTTTTCAAGATTTGATTGTCTGTATGTTGCACTGGCTGTCTTAAAACTCTCTTTTACTTTTTCAGGATTTGATTGTCTGTATGTTGCACTGGCTGTCTTAAAACTCTCTTTTACTTTTTCAGGATTTGATTGTCTGTATGTTGCACTGGCTTTTTGCCAAGATTCCTTAATTTTTTCAGAATTCGAGTTTTTGTATTTCTTATTATATGACTTTTTTCTCTCGCTTTCTTTTTTTTTAAATTCGTTGTTCGACCTTCTTTTTTTCATGTATTCCTTCATGTATTCTTTTCTTTTATGATTTTTTTTCATTGAGACGGAGTTTTCCGAGATACGTTTATTACTATTAGTATTAGATTGCGAATTTTGTTTATCAGTTGCTGTCTGATTTTCTATTTGTTGAGAAGCAGATTGCTCAATTGGCGTTGTAGAAACATAATGCAGTTCGTCAATATGTCCAATATAAATATCTCTTACATTTTCCTGAGCATAAATAGAGGTTACAACTGTAGTTTCAGTAAAATTTTGTGCACTTTCTGTGATGTGAATTCTTAAATTATTTGCATTCGCAACTGCCTGTATGATAATATGGTCTGCCCATGAGCCTAGCCGTGACATATTCTGTAAATAATGCGACCATGATTGTTCAGTATTAGACTCTATGAAATGTTCTGGGCAGTTTATTAAATGTTGGATTGCAAGAGCTCTTATCTGGGCATGACGACTTTCTGTTCTGTAAAGCTGATGACTTACACTACGAAACAAACAGTTACCATCACCGACAATGTTCACTGGCTTTCGTCCTATTCGAGCTAGTCTTGTGGTCAATACTGACATATTTAAAGTATTTACGGGTCCTGGGTTTAACTCTACATCACCAGACACAAATAAGAAATTTCTGTCAGATGTCTTTATTCTTTGCATATTACATTTACTACTGCCCACAACTTTAACGCTGTATGACTTAAACAATTTATGTTTTCTAGTTCTAGCACGCTTTGTACTGTTTTTCAGAATTGCCAAGTTGTGCATTGTCATTGACAATTGTTTATGTACAACTCTTCGTATTCTCTTAGACTTAGCATGAAATGGCTTCCTAAATTTCCACATATATGCATTTGTTTGTTGCAGAATTATATCTTTTCGGTATCTTGTGGAAAGCAAATTGTGAAAGCAAGATGATTTAGGAATACACTGCTTAATAAACCGTTTTATTAAACGCCTACTTTTTCTATTTTTGTTCATCAAATGAACTAACTTTTTAACGGGAATTCTAGACGGCTCTCGATCTCGGCTTTTGACATGTGTTAAATGTTTACTGCGTGATCTACTTCGACTAAAATTATTATATGGACGAGTTGATGGCAAAGGTAATAGTTCTTTCACTATACTCGCATGTGTGTTGTTGAAATTTGGTAATGCGGTAGAGTTTTGTTTATTTTTTTCTGTACTAGAATTGTGACATGTTTCAGAATAACAAGTCTCATTGACCTTCGACTCATTCCCAAGGTCACCTTGTGTTTCATGAGTCACTTTCACGTTTTCGCGTGAATTCAATGTCACTTTAGATTTCAATAGTTTCACATTTATAGCAGTGTTTATAGCAGTATTGATAAGCTTTGATATAGATAGATTCTCGTTAGATCTGGTAGAGTTCTCTTTGCACTGAACACGATTTTGCACCGTTGTACTAGACCCGTGAACAAGGTCTGTGACGGTAACACGCTGGCTACCTCCTTGCCTTTTTCTTCCATTGCATAAAGCTCGCTGGCAAGTCAAGCGATTGGCGATAACACGTGGGCTATCTCCTTGCCTTTCTCTTCTATTGCGTAAAGCTCGCTGGCAAGTCAAGCGATTGACGATAACACGTGGGCTATCTCCTTGCCTTTCTCTTCTATTGCATAAAGCTCGCTGGCAAGTCAAGCGATTGGCGATAACACGTGGGCTATCTCCTCGTCTTTCTCGTTTAAATAAAGAGCTCTGACGAGTCAAGAGATTTGCTTTAGTGTCGCGAGTTATTTTCTTCGTAAACGCCATACAAATTGCCTTCTATATTACTGCAAGTTGTTTACGCTCTGCTGAATACTGGCATGTGTGATGCAATTCTCGCTGTGTGGACTTGATGCAGCAGCCAATCATATTATTGAATATTAGCACGTGATGGTGTTATGCAACGCTAATCTCTGAACCCTATATAATCATGTCCATATTTAGACTGCCAAACACGCATGATTGACACGTGCTGCATGTGTGGGTGATCCGGCCAGTGTATTTAATCATACTTGCGTATTTATTCTGTGCTTGCGAGTGTACTACGATATTTTCAGTGTACTGAGTGTAGCAGCAGTAGCATTTTATACAGTCGCTATATATGAGTATACCGTCTAAATAATATCGGAACTTAATTAAATGCCCGTAATGAATAACATGAATGCCTAGAATTTCTCAATATTTACGTCTGAAATATTTATACATTTGAAAACAACACTGTCGCTCCTTCCTAGCTCTGCATAATGAATATACCGTCTACATATATCAGTACTTGATTGAAAGACCGTCATGCACAACATAAATTCATATATTGCGTAGATTCTCAAAGATTTACTCAATATTCATGTCTGAAATGTTTATACATTTGAAAACAACACTGTCGCTCCTTCCTAACATCGTGATTTACGGCTTCATAGCGCATGCGCATTTGCGCTGCTATAGAAAAAATCGGGCGTTCCGGGGGGAAGATCCTTTACACAACATGAGAGGCAAATGTTTTAAAATTACAAAAATTTACAATAACGACAACGATTCCTCGAAATTTTTGTGAAGTTGGCAAAAAAACAAAAGAATATTTAAAGAAAATAAATAAAATTGCTTAAATAACCTTCAAAGCACTGACTAAGTACAATAAATCACTGCGAACATAAACGTATACACCCCCCCGGAAAGTTTACTCTATGACTGACTGACTGATTGACTGACTGACTGACTGTTTGACTGATTCGTGTGAATTCGCCAGCCATCACAACAGTGTGAAGTGAAACTTCACACTAAAAATAGGATGTCAAGATGATGAATTTCGGAAATTGTCGTTTCGGAAATTGTCGTCTATGTTTTTTTATTATACATGATGAATTTCGGAAATTGTCGTCAGGCCGAGCATTCGACGATTGTTTGTTTTTTTATTCTAAAGTACGTACTATACTGTACTTTTACAATACGATGCAAACGATCGATAATAATTCGAATAATTCAGGTAAGGATAGCTTTATTTCTTTCAGGTGTAGACATGAAGACATTTATATTTAGATCTGCTGTTTAATTTTGATATAGAGGTATTAAAACAATATGATTTCAGGAATAGCATATTTTCTAAATCGTCCACGGCCACTGATCGTCTTAATTAAAGTTTATATTTATAGCGAGATTTATAGTATACAAGCAGTCAAACTATATACTTTTAGTTTATTTGTTTGTGTGGCGATGTGCCAAGGCGATGAGTTTATATATAGTGTTCATTCTAGATGTCAATGTGCTTTTAGCACGTTTTAAAAACAAACGCGTTTTAAAAACAATCACACTGCTTGTTGTTGTGAAACATGTCACAATTAGGTTAAAATGCGGAAACGGATGGAGCGGATCAACGGAACGGATATGGGAATAAAATACGGAACGGATGGGGATAAAATGCGTCCGTTCAATGATGCAACGTCGTAGTGCTTATTATTCATATCATATCTTATACAGCTATTTCAATTAAATTTGTCACTGAGACAATAGTCAAATGTGCAGTATGGGCGGATGATGGGAATAATCATAGTTTTAAATACGTTTAGCATATCAATAGCCTCGTGGGGATGCTTTTGCAAATGCAAGTAAACTATATCCTTTTAGTTTATTTGTTTGTGTGGCGATGTGCCAAGGCGGTGAGTTTATTATATATAGCTAGTGTTCATTCTAGATGTCAATGTGCTTTCAGCACGTTTTAAAAACAAACGTGGAATGTTGTGTTAAAGATATTCCTATAAAAACCCAGTGTGGGTTGTTGTCTGCACATATTTATAACTTACCAACAGCTACATGTATTATGTATGTAATAACATGTCAACCGAATTTTGTACAAGGTAAGACGGTCGTAAAAATATATCTCTGAGATATCAGATACGTCCATTGTTAGCATTATATGAAATAAACCTACCGGCCAACATTTAACAATTATTCGCCGAAGGCGAGGTGATTATCGGGGAATATTCACAGAGACAGAGTCAAGGTCAGTAGCCTCGTGGGGATTCTTTCATTCAAGTATTATTGTTTATATACACATTGATATGTTGTAGCACTGAGTATTCAGTGGCAAGCTAGCCATGGCAATTGGTCATGCTATGCTAAGAAACCTGTACTATTTGAATAATGCAAAAACTTGCATAGCATGACCTCATGTTGCTATGCGCTTCCTGCCTCGTTGTTTTGCATGCAATCTTTTTAGGCAAGCTTTCCGAGGCTAACACATGTACGCTCTGCGTACCTATTTTTACTTGTTATGCCGGGCGTGTTTATAATTCTGGATGGGTGGGACGATACAGTTGCTGAGATCTTGCTCATAATATAAACTCCAGCCTACACGGGATCCCGACAACCAGTGGCGTAGCTAGCGGTCCTGCTTGTCCTGCCCAGCAGGACTAAAAATTTCCCCAAATTTCCTTACTAAAACATTACTTTATTTATCTTGAAGCTTTAAAAATATATTATTATCATACTGTTATTTTGTATAATTTTCTCGTCTTTTTCGTTATTATTTTTTAAAAGTTTTCCGTATTCTATTACATTTACGCAATTTTACAGCTTGCCGTGTCTGTTACCTAGCAACTGCAACTCTATAAAAGCTCATTTCTGGGCAATACATTGATTTACACGCGCTCGTGTTTCGGTCCTGCCATTTTCAAATGGCAGGACTTGCTAGTATATTTCATAGTAAATTCATACAAGAAATCTTGGTTTCTGATTGGATAATTAGATCTGCGCATGCTCAAACCGGCTGTTTACAAATGCGAAGTCCTGCTCTCTCGAAATGGCAGGACTTGGCCTTGTTTGTCTTTGCTTGCGAGCTTTCCGCGTGATTAAACCCACTTTTTACTAACTCTGTCAAGATTACTCAAGTGATGAATATGGAAATCAACCAGCGTGGAAGCCCATTGTGATTTGGATATAATTTCTGGCTTCTGCTAAGATATTTTAGCTCACGAAATGCATGTCAACAGACTCGATCGTGTATTTTGTGTCGTATGCATTGCATTGTCGTATGCATTGCATGAAACGAGGCATGAAACACGAGCGCTTATGTGGAGTTTCAAAAAATGATATAGCTACCATTTAGATTTACAAAGTTTATGTTATTTATGTAGATATTTGGCCGCATTTTTATACACTATATTTACTTTAAACGCTACGGCAATTTTATTACACTGGCCTGTAGGCCAAGTGTCTTAAATCCCCCTTTTTCTGTTTTTTTCGTAGTCCAGAAATCGAGTTTGCGTTAGCTCATCGCAGGCTCAAGGTGCAACGATTAAGCCAAAATGCCATCGATTCCCTCGGTTCCATGATTTAGATAGTATAGTAATAAGCTCGTTGAATTTTCAAAGAATTGTACCGGTTTCTTATGGATTTTACGTTGTCGTACTCTGGACTTTCTTGCGTGTTGAATTAATGTGTTTTTCTTTGAGTAACGACTCGAAAACCACAAAATTTGGACCCAGCGAATTTATACAATCATAAATTTGGACCCAGCGAGGCAGCGAATTTATACAATATATTGGAATATAAACAAGGACAAACTCTCCTAATTCCTTACGATAATTTTAGTCAAATGTCGACAATATACCTTTAAATACATGTATTAAAATCCGCGCAGTACTAGAATTAAGAGAATTCGCGTAGCGCTGGCCGCTGAAATTTTAGTACTGTGCGAAATATAATCCGCGCGAAAAGCTTTGTGGTAGCTATACTAAAGATAAAGCGTGCGTTCAAAATACCAACAAGAACTAGAACCATTATTGTATGGTTCTCATTTGCTAGACTTGCCACAAGTCGACCTCGAAGAAGCGCATTTCGTTCGAGGTCGACTTGTGGCAAGTCTACTCATTTGCCTAATACAATAACATTAGTTCGACGCGAATTTTAATACAAGTATGGCATCATATTTCATAATATAACAAACAATGTAAACTAGCTATATATTTTGCCGAACATAACTTTGGCCCCTTTGGACATATCTTTTTCGTAATAATATTATTGGAACCAGAATCGAAAACACTATTTATAGTGTTATTTTCAAGCTTGTTATTTCGGTATTTACAGAATATTTATATTTTTAGCGCGGCCCATGGAACGTACATCAAAACAACGCGCTGTTAGGAAAAAGCGGAAATCGAGTCTGTAGGTCGGCATGATTTGCACGTGCATCGATCGAGGTATAAAAGTGCGTGCAATTAAAACCCCGATATTTTGAAAATTTCAAAATAAATATTCCTACTCTGTGCCGTATTCAAACGAAACTTTGTACATGAAAGCGCTTGAATACAAGATGTATTTTACTCACATTGATTCTGAGCAAATTCTGAAGAGTTACTAAAGAATACTAAAGCAGGGTGCATTGCCTGTTAATGGGTTAATAAGAGACATTGGCAGATGTGTTTGTTAACCCATTTACTGTCAGTACTCTGCCACTAACAAGTAAAATCGTCTGGCGTTAGTCAGAGTTAATACTAAAGTAGTGTGCATTGGCAGCTAATAGGTTAATAGACCTTAATATCTGCTTTTGACCCAATGGCTTCATTTTCATGTTGACTATTTACTCGACGTATTCCGTGCACACAATTTAAGAATGAGTTTATGAACAGGCTTAAATGATGAACGAGAAGGAAACATTGGGCCGTATAACCGAGAACTGTCTAGAAGTATAAATTTTTGCATTCAGTTCATACGCCAAAAAGGCAGCACTTTCCTTGCGATAGTAACTCCTAGTCATAGATTTGCACCATTAGTCCATTACGTCTACCGAAAAGGCCTTTTAGTTTTTGAAAAAGTCCATAAAATTTGCTTGCGGTTTAAGATTTGTATTCTTGCCTTTTGCACCATAGCATGTATCTCGTTATTTTCAGGCCAGTGTGAACGCCTGAGCAGGCGTCTTGTTATATTTAAATACCATAGCCAGGCCCATAGGCATAGCGTACTGAATTATACAATCAGAGTACCAAGCGTAGTGGTCCGTAGTTGTTACCACTCCGTTTAATATGGTTTATTAAACATTACTAACAAACGTAGTAATTTTTTAACGAATGCTAGCCGTATATGTAGTCATTGTAGTGTTGTATATTCAACAAGCACTACAACAATTGTTCAGTTACGCAATTGCACGTTGACCAAGTGAAAGATCATATTACAGACGTGTATTGATATTTTCCTCTTACACGACTTGACTATATTTAGCTAAATTTTTGATAAGTTGAAAAATATATAGTGAAACATGATAAATATGGAAATACGACTTCAAAAAGTGACAAATTTGTTTCTAAAAAAGTATCTAATTTTTTTATGCTCCCTTTGGAGTATTTTGCCGTGAAATCGCAGGAAATGGCCATTCCAGACTTCTAAAATTAAAAATTTAAAATACAGACAAGTAAATAAAATAATAATATTATTATTTAATATTGCTATTGCGCCATTTTACATATGTATATGATCAAGTGCGCATTATAATTACAACCGGAACTGGCGTGAAGCTGACCAAGGTAACTGTGAGCTTACAAATGGCGCTTTATAAGCAGCCGCTGTTAGTCCATACCTCATTAATGATCTGCCCCCTAACCTATGTGCCTAACCCACACTATCAACTTTCCCTGTGGGAAGGAAACAGGAGTACCCGGAGTTATAGTGGCGAAGTCACCCCAACAATTTGGTCATGCTATGCAAATATTTCCGCGTTCATACACCATGAAACAATCAATTTTTAAAGAAATGAATAATGATAAGGTTTTGAAAGTTGCATAGCATGACTAAATTGTCGGGCTGGCTTCGCCACTGCCCGGAGAAAACCCACGACTTTCGGCAAAGCGTTGACTTTTTATTCTTTTCACATGAGGACTGGGTTCGAGTCACATTGAGAAATTCTCATTGAGATTTGAACCTACGACCTTAGAGGTGAAAGGCCAGTGCGCTAACCACTTCGCCACCGAAGTCCCTAATATGTCATACTTGCTCGCCTGTAGCCGGCTTTACGTGATATCATTTTCCCATGACAAAAGAACGAGAAAAATAATCGTGTCGGACAAATACCCTTTACACGGTGGGATCTGGTACCGGTCGAATAATCACTTGCTTAAATTTATTAGTTCATTCTTACCATGTTTTCATAAAAGTCTTTTGGCAATTTAGATAGAATATCGACAGGATCAAGAAGGTCATATGGATCTACGTCCACAACCTGTGATTCTACAAACAAAGAATGTAGTTAGAATCATGCATTTATAGCCAGGCGGCAGTCCAACCATCTTATATTAGGGAGCTTAAGATACACCAAATCTACGACGCGGACATGACAAGAAACTTCCGCTATTATCACAGTTTCACTTCACGGGTAAAACTATGGATTGTTGTTGGTAAACCAAGCGAGGGACAAGAGAAAAACAAAGTAAAACTAGTCTCCAATTATTACCGACTGTTTTTTCGTCGCGTCCGCGTCGCAGATTTGGTGCATCTTAAGCTCCTTATTATTATATGGACGGACGTTTTTGTTTCTCAAGCAGTAATACAGATAGCAATGCACAAAACAAAGGCGTTTCCATCTCTTCCTCTGGATTATCCATGATGAAACGAACTAGTTAATGTTCATGATGTAGTTCGGCGCTATCCACATTTACATTTTACAACAATGTATAACTATGGAAAGCCATAGGTGTCTTAAGTGGTTAAATGTATAACCACAGGGAATTGGGCTCAGCAGTGGTGGATTTATAGGGTAGGGCGGGTAGGGGAGTGGTGCACAGGGGTGTTTGCCTTGGTCACCAAGGGTTCAGAGGGGTGCAAATGTTTGAGGTATTCAAAGTTCGTTATCATGCAGTCTTAGACTAACTTAAGTTTCGAAATTCAAGGCAGCATCACAGAACTATAGTTCTGTACAGCAACTCAGAACTGTAGTTCAAAATACTAATAAGTCCAATATTAATAATTAATGTAGTTTGATACTTTGACTGAATAAAGCAAATTCTTAATTTTGATACAAACGTCTAACATTATAAGTATTCATTACAAGCATAATGAAAATAAAAATTAGAAAAGCAATCAGATATTCAAATGTGAATAAATTTCCGTTCTCTCTTTCACACAGTATAAAGAGAGTCAGGGATTTATAATTTTATGTAATTATTAAATTATACTTGTTCAACATATCTGTAAATTGTAATCAAGAAACTGTACATTCATAGATTGCGAGCAGTCCCTCCTTAGAAGGAAAGGAGACTGCAGACAACACATCACGAAACGAAATACGCGTTATCTACACAACGCAAAATTCTGATTGGTTAATATAGTTGATTGACAGATCTTTTTGAAAGTCAAATTATGTCATACTAATTAAATCTTCTAGTATTTTTATTCATACTGTCTGAAAGAGTTTAGTATGTTAATTATAGAATACAATTTAATGTAATACTATGTATTTTTGCTTGTAAAATGTAAACTTGAATTTTTACTTTTAAAACAATACGATACGCGCTATAAAAAGTTACTTAATTATTTACAACGCCAAAATAATTATATTGGAGCTAAGGGGAGGTGCGAAAAGTGGGCGTATTTCGTTTCTTGATGCGTTGTCTGCTGTCCCTCCTTTCCATTTAAGGAGGGACCAGTGCATTCATGACAGACTCACAAGACGATGTTACACACAACTAACAACAACTTAAGGTAGCTCCCTACAGTTATTCTTGTTTAAGCAATAATTCCGTAAAACAGGCTTATTCGTGCAGAACGCGAATTCTTTTCGACAATATTGGTCACCTAAGGAATATTTCGAACTAGATTTCGACAATGTCAATGTTCCCATGGCAACATGACGACAGCATAAAGCCTTCCAATTTAACCCATAAATGTGCCGCTATCTCAAAAACGATGTCGGTGACCTATCTTTTTTATTTCATATATCAATAAGGAATGATGCTCTGCAACTGTGGTGAAAGTTTAAAAAAATTCTGTAGTGTGTGATTTTTTTAAAAGCGAAAAATTTATTGCGAAATTTCCACACTACCATTTTTTTAAAATTTGAAATTTATAAAATTTACCGCAAAATAAATTCGTGGTCAAAATTTGAAGATAGGTCACCGATGAAACTAATGAGTAAAATGCAAATAAAGTTAGAAAATAGCCTCGTGTAACTCGGGAAATTCCCCTATTGAAAAGCGTCGCTGACTAGTAAAAGATTACGTAAATGACTAGTAAAAAGTACACAATGTTGTTTTTACTGTTTTGTTTTTGTCAACTTTTCGATTTATTTGAGTGCTATGGACAACCAAGGATTATCAATGAAAACAAGGTTGAAGCTAATTGAATCCTGCCGTTTACTCAATCTATGAGCTGTAACAGCCTATTAATAGGTAGACGTGTTTTTTTGTTTCATGTTTGGTTTTGTACTTTTTGCTAAAAATGAACAATTAGGCTATGAAACTGAAATATTTTTCTGTTTACATATAATCACTTTAATCTTGTAGAAACACGACTAAAAACGTGAACGTTTTCTTGAGAAGTAAACAACTTTTTAAACGTTTGTATGCAATTTTGCAAATGTTTTACAGTTGAGTCAGTTGACAGTGTAAAAAAAATTAAAAAATATTGTTTCGTAGCTATTTTTTGGTCTAGTGATATTCGTATCATATGTAGAATTGCTGTATAGACACGCAAGTGATTTGGCACTCAAAACGAAGTATTGTTCAACGCTTTTTTCCATTAGAAACCTTTCAGAAATAGCTTTATTTAAAAAAAAAGCATGGTCAATTTTTGTTTTGTTTTATCATGCAGTTGCGTGGGATAGTCCACGTACTTGTCCCGCGAACATCCCGCACGGAACTGTAGGGAGCCTCCTTAAAAGCACACATTAGCACACAATAATATTGTTGTAATCCCGACATGAAAACGTAGTCCGATATCTCTGTTGCGAAGGTTATGTTCCACGTTTTTCATGCTCTGATAAAATATGAATCTTGGAATGTAACCGTTTTCGCGAAGGCTAGTGGAATCTATTCGCTTTCATTCTATACAAATTCTTGCCTACCTTCTTCAGCAATCCCCGCATCACTGCCACCAGCTGCTTCATCCACTTGCGGTGCTTGTGCTTGTTTTTCTTGCTGTGTTCTCGTCAGACGAGTGGGTTTAGGTGGGGATGGATCTAATTTACCCCACTCCTCTTCCAACTCTTTCATCTGAAACAGAAAAATAGAATTTTTTTAAAAAAGTTGCCAGTACAAACCAGTAGGACTGGAATCTGCATGCAAAACACGCATTGCTATAGAAAGGAGTGTAATCCAACACCATGAAAATATTTGCATCACCAAATCATGCATACAGTGAATCCACACAATTTCCATACTATTGATATATTCCTTAGTACTGTATATGGAAATGTCAATTAGTATTTATATCCTTGATGGTGAGGTGAATAATTGTTCCGGCATATACCATAACAAAACAAAACTGACCACACAACAAAACAAAACAAAAACAAAACAAAACAAAACAAAACAAAACAAAACAAAACAAGAATGACAAAAAAACCCGTAAATATTCTTTAAAAAATTTGTATTTCAGCTCGATAACTGGCCTTTGTAGCTCAGTTGGTGAGAGCGCTGCACCGGAATCGCAGGACCGCAGATTCGATGTCGCTTCTGTTCCTGGTTAGGTCTAATAAATGTATTCAGTCGAGTGCATGAGATGCCGACGAAATCTTGATATACAACTGATAGTGATTCAATTAAGGTTGTCCTTACAAAACCTTAAACTAAGCTTAAACTCTGAGCGTGCAAGTGCGTTGATGGGTTTTCACTTTTTAGATCCTTAAACTCAGAGAATTGCCTTTGCAGCAAATATGTTTTCTGTCGTGAGTGTTCCATATGTCTTAGGTATTCTTGCGTTTAGACTCAAAGTTTATGAGTCTAAGTAAGCAATAACCCATCATCCATTGCGCGCCCAGAGTTTAAGGTTTACGTTTTTGGAAGGACAACCTTAATTGAATTAGCTGTATATAGAAGGTGCTGTAGAGTCGTTTCAATAAACATTTTTACAATTGACATTTTGCCAATGTCACTTTGCCTTCGCATGACTATGTTTCCATTTTCAACCTCGCTATCGCTCGGTCAATACAGCAAGACCTCGGTTTGACATTTCCCTCACTCTCAGTCAGTAAGTTGTTAAAGGGATACGGCAAAGTCGGCAATATATTTTTTATTTCATTTTAAACAACTTTTGAAACTATATGTTAATCTCTTTTACCGATTTTGCGTAACTGTATTATTTCTTGAAATATTTTGACTTAAAATAATTTGCTGTCCGCCATCTTGGATTAATTTTTATCTCAACTCGAGCTCAAAAAGTGAAGCCAAACATGGCGGAAATTGAAGGCATTCTTGCGCGTCATTCTCAGTCCCCTTGCGTGCGCGGTCAAGTTGGTCAACTAAACTTTTATATTTTTCTTTTTTTTCCGAGTAAAAATCTGATAAAAACAGACGTAATTTGAATGAAAAGTTGAATTCTGGTGTTTTGTTTGGGTTTAGTTCTAAATTAAATATTATTTATTTAAAAGATGCGATATTTGAGTGGAAAGAAAGCAAAATAGCGCGGGATTGTTGTTTTTGTAGATGACAAAGAGTGACAAAACAAAACACAAATGTCACTCAATCTTTCAAAATACCTATATTGCCCCTATCGACAAGAGTTTCACACACATAAATAACTCGTTAAAATAAACAGTTTTAGTTTATAAGGCAATCATCAAAGTGATTTTACTATTAAAAATAGAAATTAAAAAAACAAAATTTTCTTACATGTATGGAATTAAATTGGCTAAAAACTGCCTCGAAAACTGCAGTTAAAAAGCAGTTTTAGGTCAGGAAAACGGGGCTAAAATAAGCTAAATAATGGTGTGAAAACTGAAAAGCACCATAGAAACAAGAAAGCGAAACAACCAAAGCAGAAATAAATTCCCAATTTATAAAAATACAGATTTATTCAAAAAAACAAAGTTTGAAATTAGTTGTTGAATTCGCAACGAAAAATACAAATTTACTCACACATACAGTGGGAAAATGCAGTAGACAGATCGATTAGATGAAGGAAATCAGGTTTACATGAAATAAATGAAGTTTATTTCGTTTTTGCTCTTTTAAAATGAAGAAAAACACAACCCGAGAATCGCGGACCCATCACTTCTCGCGATGAAAATATAAAAAATGTTTGGCCGCGCGGGTAAGGGGACTGAGAATGACGCGCAAGAATGCCTTCAAAATCCGCCATCTTTGGCTTCACTTTTTGATTACGTCACTGACTGAAGTCAGCCTTCCATGTATATAGTTCACTGGTTCAAATACCTCAAGAAATAATAAAGTTACGCAAAATCGTTAAAAGAGATTTACATATAATTTTAAATGTTCTTTAAAATGAAATAATAAAAAAATAATATATTGCCGTATCCCTTTAATATCGAATGATAGAAGTCTTTCAAATATTAACAAGAAAAGTAGAGTATACTCAACCTGAACAGGTTTAATATTTGTCAATTGAGCCTTCACTGCATCCTTGATCCACTTATAGATTTCAATTGCCAACAACTTGGTCTGTGAAAAACAAAAAGGGAGTCAACAACATAATAAAACTAAAACATTATTGCATGAAATATTATGAAAATAGCTCGTTACAACTTATAGCATTACAGCCGCTTTTCATGCACTTTTCAATTCACAAATACAAACTTTACATGTCTCGGCTTAGGCCACATTCACACTAATCTATTCCCGCTTGAAACGGATACTTTGCATATGCGTTTTTCCCGATCATCTACACTACAATACGATAGAAAACAGATACCTATAATATATAAATGAAAACGAGGCTTTTGGAAAACGTCTTTGAAAATGGAGACTTTTGAAAACGGAAGCGTTTTGGATTAGTACATGAACCGGCAAAAACGCTGAGCGTTTATGAAGTAAAGAGGCCAGACAAAACAATACTAACTCCGAAAACGGTGAAAGTTTCAAAAGGTTTACCGTTTTCGGAGTTACTATATTATATTGTATTTAATTATACTCAGTCTCAGTGGTTCCCGCGCAATTTATGTCAGACAATGTTCAGTAATTCTGTGTATATTATCTTGTATTAGTTTACGTTTGACCGCTTTTTAAATGAACTTTGCAATTCAATCATAAAAAATTCTTGCATAGGCACATAGGAAAGCGTTCGCAGCGAGCTTCCATTCATTGCGATATATGGAAAAGAAGCTTTAGCGATAAAATTCACTGCGAAAAGACGCTAGCTCAACCTTTTGAGAGCTAATTCTGTTGCTAACCAACGATATTGCCTATTTTCTATTAGTTTTTCGATCTCTCTGCGCCAAAATGTATAACTTAGTGGAAAAGGCCTAAACTTCTAGAATCTCTATAAGATGTTTATTTGAACGACAGTTACCTCTTCTCGAACATTTTTATCGCTATGATCAAACAGTTTAGGTAAAACTTTAACCACAGGTTTGAGAGCGAATATTTTCCCACCAAATTCACTATAAGTCAACAAAATAAGCAAAAAATTAGCACAATGCCAATGGGCAGTGTTGTAACGAGTCGAGTCATTGACTCGGACTCGAGTCGCTATTTTCAGTGACTCGACTCGAGTCCAATACGAAAAATGACTCGACTCGAGTCAACAGCCCCAAATGACTCGACTCGGACTCGACTTGCTGATTTGGCCGTAAATGACTCGAGTTAACTCAGCTACAACTTGTACAGAATAAATTCATCACAATTATTGTGATTGTATTGCTTGGGAAGAACAATGAGCCCTGTAAACAATGAGAACTTCGAAACTTTATCAGAAAATATATGGGATTTGCATAGAATATATTCCGGACGGACATACCTATATTACATTTCTGTTTTTAGAAACAACGCTAGTGCCACAGTTTTTAAAATGGAGTCTCAAAATGTTTTGTACTTATACTAATTCTGACAGGCTATTTTCATTTTTGATATTTATGAAGGCCTATATAATTTCCGATTAACTTACAAAGCGTTGTTAATTAAAGTCCATTCTTTGTTAATTCTGACTCCAGTTGCAAGTTTTGCTAGTTGTATGTACGTACACTCGATCAGCAGGCATGATGAGACATCTCATGTGGTCGTACTTAATATTGACTAGAACTGTGATATTGGCACAGCCTATAGCTGCCCAGATACTGTTATTAAATGACTAAAGTAATTTGATTACTAATTTCCGACTGCAAGCTAGGGTAGTTCAAGTCAAGTCTAGCAATTGACTCGACTCGACTTAAACCAGTGACCCGACTTGACTCGAGTGAAGTCACTGACTCGACTCGATCAAAAACTGAAATGACTCGACTCGTGACTTGACCTTTGAGTGACTCGACTCGTGGCTCCACCAGTAGGTGACTCGTTACAACACTGCCAATGGGTCCGGTGAATGGAAAAGGTAGGGCTAGGGTTGGGATCAGGACTACAGGCATGGCAGACATGCAGTTAAAAAAATGTCTCGAAATTTGCGTTCGTTCATGCATTTCTGTTCTACAAGTTAGGGTGTATAAAAAAGGTACTCCATGCAACTTTGATAATTTCTGTTTGTGAATTTATAAAGATCTGGCTTTTAGCTGTCGACCTTTATTGAATCATTGCAATAAAAAATGGGCCAAATACGATCTGATTTAGTGGTCGGTTGCCCATTTGGGAAACGCATACGGCATTGCGATTTCAATCTGCAAACATCCAGTTTCATGCAACCACTCAATATCGATGCAAAATTGCGAGTGGAAATTTACCAAAAACTCGATGCTTAATGCATGCGTTGCACCGTCTTTATTCCAAGTGACTTGAATTTGAATCCCAAATGAGAATATATATCAACATTCAGATAATAACTGTACATACAATTCCCATGCAACGGTGGCAAAATGCGATTCCGAGCAGCATTTTTAAATCGGATCGTATAGTTTGGTTATTTTGACCGCAACGATACAAGAAAGGTAGCATTCGACAGCTAAAAGCCTCATCTTTATTAATTGGCAATTCCAGCTTTTAGTTTATGCGTGCAGGGGATGATGGGAAGTAAGGTATCGCATTGGTGATTATGCTGAAAAAATAAAAATGGTGGCCGTGTAAACTCGGAGTGATAGCTTATACCTGTAAATATTGAAATATTTTGGTTGTTTCGGTAGTTTTTATTGAAATTTTTCAGCATAATCGGCAATATGATACCTTACTTCCCATCATCCCCTGCAGGCATAAACTAAAAGCTGGAATTGCCTATTGGTATAAAAAAAAGTATAAATGGCTAAACGTATTAACATATGATGCCAAAGGCCTCAATTCAATTGAATTCAAATGTATTAATATATTATTTCCAAAGTTGGATTATACACTTGAACTGTCTGTGCCAGTGTGTGCCAATAATATTAACAAGCTTTTGTAGGTATATAGGGGTGCAACTATACCTGAAAAATAAAAAGAGAATTTCGACGTTTCGAGCGAACGGCCCTGTCTGGAGTTACTTACTAGCCAACTCCAAATGAAGGGCCTTCGTCGAAACGTCGAAATTCCCCTTATATTTTTCAGGTAGTTGCACGAAAGCTTGTTAATTTTTTTATACACCCTTGTATATATGCCATCCATGCATATTTGCAACGTATATTACAGTTGTGTACACGTTTCTCTCGTGTTCCCCTAACAACCCAATGTCTGTGTAAAAAGAGACAGGGTTTTCTATTTTTTAAAGAGGGTGTTTTGAAAAAGGAAATCCAACTTTACAGCGAGCTTTTGTGCGTCCAGTATTGATTGCACATATTTAGTTTCCATTTTACAAGTGTAGCAAAGATTAGGGTTTGAGCATTTGATGGACATTTTATCATTCCAAGCAAAAATGACCAAATACGAGCCGATTAAAAAATACTTGTCGAAATCACAATTTTCCACCTTTCCACACTTAAAGTAGTAAATTAAAATCAAAATTGCAATTATAATCACTGTGTCTTTCTATGCAATAGGGGTGCACCAAAACTGCACCGATTTTTCAGAGTTCCGGTTCCGGCTGGAACTGGTAAAAAAAACATGGCCGGAACAGGAACTTTGCCGTTTTCAGTGAGATAGAATATCACGTTTATTTATTCAATAGCATTGGAAGAAATTTGGACTACACAAGACTATTAACACTTCATTATGACGTTTAAGTTTTTAACGTTAGTCGATCTTTTTATTCTAACATTTGCGAGCTCTCTCCTTGATGACTGAAAGTGTCCGATTGTCTGGCAGCAGACAAAGTAAAAATTAGCCATTCCGAAGTTGATGAGAGGACTGAAGACGAGTGTTAAAAAATGCCCAAATTAAGAAATGAACCCAATAACTAAAAAGACAACCTCAAAATTGGTAAGTATACAAAGTTTGAAGATGTTTACATGAATACCCTTCGAATAATAAGCTTTCGAAAGTTGTGGTACAGTATTTACTATGAAATGTATTGTAATTTTTGTTTTTGGGATGCGCGTCCCAAAAACAATCTTTTAATCAGTAATTTCACAATTTTCGAAAGCTTATTATTCGAAGGGTATTCATGTAAACGTCTTCAAACTTTGTATACTTACTAATTTTGAGGTGGTCTTTTTAGTTATTGGGTTCATTCCTTAATTTGGGCATTTTTTAACACTCGTCGCCAGTCCACTCATCAACTTCGGAATGGCTAATCGCTTAACGAATTAGTTCCGGTTCGGGCCGAAACTTTTTTCCAGTTCCGGGAAGTGCACCCCTATACAATAAATGTTAAACAGAAGTGACAACATTTACAAACAATTAAATAAAAAGAAGGGCTTTATGGGCATTAAATTAACGGCTTTTAATCTGGATGATCGTACAATAAATTAACAATTAATTTTTATCCCATATGTTGGATTGTTTTTCATAGTTTTGCACCCAATTCTCAACGGTGGAGAAATGCTATTTCGACGAGCAACTTTTATTCGATTTGTTTTGGTCATTTTCCCTTATCATGATAAAAAAAAGTATTTAAATCAGCTAAAAGCCCGATGTATCGCTGTACAAAAATTTTATCGATAAACTCAATATCTATAAAGATTCTTTTCCAATCATCACAAAAATGAACTCGAAAGCTCGTTGCGAGCACTTACATCTAACTGATCTTAGATGTCCTTTCGTCACGTCACTGTCAAACAATGAATATAGTATCCCTTATTGCATTACGTATTTACCTAATGTTTTGGGTTGGGCAATATTTAAAAAGTTACAGTACTGTATATCATGATTATCGTCTAGGAAATTATCACGATTTTCGATAATATCTCAAATAAATGCAATACTGCCAATAGAAACAATGGCCGCACTTTAAATTTTAGATTGCAGTAAAAACATATCAACATAATACTGATTAAGCTACATTAGTAATTAATAAGATTATCAGTTAATATGTACTAGATAAAACATGAGCAGCCGATCTTTATCTGATATACAAACTCGAGCCGAAGGCGAGAGTTTATATATCAGATAAAGATCGGCGAATGTTTTCTAACCCGAGAAAACCAAAGCTAAAGTTTATGTAAATCCGGACAAATCTTTATCCGATTTACAAACATTGATAAACATTGATTTCTTTTGTATTTTCCTCGTGAATTATTAATGAGTTTTTTAAGTTATTATAAAGAACAAATGTTTCATCATTCATTGCATAAACCTTAGCTGTACACTGCGCAGCAAAACGGCAAAATTTATATGTTCGAGAAATTGAGAGAACTGTTTTCGTATTTCGTACAATGTCCACGCATGTCAAAGAATATCACGATAGTCATCGACCATAACAATAATCACGATATATCGTCGCTCGTGTTTCTACCTTCGATACGATGATCTTGAGCGAAAATATCACGAAAATATCGAAATATCGCCCAACCTTGTTCAGATGGATTGGAAATTGCGCGACGTACTTAAGAGGCAGTCTCTGTAAGAACCTCAATCATGACCTCTTTGGAGCAAGAAATAGATTTCTCTCTAACTTTGTACTCGAGATTGCCTTTATAAGGGTTGTTTCAAAATGCATTTTGTTTTCAGTCTATTGCATTTTGGCAAAGTTCCAGGGGGGTCAAGTTGAGGGATAAAATTATGATTTTTGCTGTTTCTCAATAGTGGATTTTTACTGATTTGTAAACCTCTGTACATCAAACAAAAATAATGATAAAACTAAATCCTTCCACACAATAGTAGCTTTATATGTCTTAAGTAAAAAGATATCTACAAATTTTTCCAATATGTTTTCTAAATATAGAAATGACATCATTCATGAAAGACTAAAATAGAGATTTCCAAGTTCCTTAAAAATTGTTGAAATAAAACCCCTAAAATTCAAAAGTTAGACTTGCCACGAATGTAATATTATTTGTAGGGTAAGATTAAAGGTTGGTCTTACATAATGTAAAATTAAATATTGCGGCCTGTAAATTTTGGGGGTACTACAGGCCAACAAAACATCAACATTTTCGACTTTTGGTAGTTTAGATCAAATAAGAATGTTCACCGTTTACTGCAAACGCAGCTTTCAAAGTCCGAAATTTTACTTATTATTTTGACCTAGAAAAGTGATAAACATTCGTTTGACCTTTACTGTTGTCTAAAGTCTTTTAGGGAAATGCACTGACACAGGCATTTCCGTTATGTATGGACCGTATGGTATAAATAATAAAATTTTTTAGCAAAAACAAAGACAAGTTATAAATTGCAACAGGGTAAAGATGTCCGTTAGTCAACAAATTATCGAACATCGATTTACTTTGAAGATTTATTTAAAAAGTCAAGAGAAAACCTACCCCAATATAATTTATACAAAGATAATATATGCCTCGATCAACGAACCGATTGTCAGTTGACATATTATTTGACATTCGTCAGCTGCCATTATTCTTCAGGGTTAATCACTTTCGATATCTTAATGATTATTTTAGTCTCATATGTATAAAATCTTGATTCTTTTGTCAACAGGCAATGCTAGTCAATCCTCCTTTGTTATAACTCGATTTTGTTATTGTTATTGCGGAAGCCGCTGACCAGCCAAATAATTCGGCTGTCAAAAACACGTGCAACATGTCGTGAATTGTTTGCTTTCAAAGCTGCAGGTCAAACTTGGCAAAAGTTTGTCAATGTTTGGTAAAAGTTATGAAATTGTTCCCAATTCTAAAAATTTCTAATATCTGGTTAAATTTGTCCGGAAATAATGTTAAACTTTGCTCTGTCAAGAATGAAACAGACTAAATGTAATTTTTCTAAATATATAAACCTTTCTATATTTAGAAAATATATCAGAAAAATTTATAGATACCTTGTCACTTAAGGCATATACAGCTACTCTTTTGTGGAAGGAAGTAGGTTTATCATGATCTTTGTTTGATGGAGGCAAAATCTTCCAAGGCTACAACGTTTGACAGCCGAATTATTTGGTTGGTCAGCGGCTTCCGCCATAACAATAACAAAATGGAGTAAAAACAACGGAGGAATTGACTAGCATAGGCTGTTGATGAAGAATCAAGATTTTTTTACAAGGCTGTGTCTACGATAATCATTAAGATATCGAAAGGGCTTGACACTAAAGAATAATGGCAGCTGACAAACGTCAAATAGTAAGTCTACTGGCAATCGGGGTCATTGAGGGGTTCGAGGCATATCTTTGTATTTATAGTTAATTTAATATTGGAGTACTTTTCTCTTGACTTTTTAAATAAATCTTCACAGTAAATCGATGTTCGATAATTTATTGACTAAGGGCATCTTTGCCTGTTGCAAATCTATAACTTGTTTTGTTTATATTCAGCTAGAAAATTTTTATTATTTATACAATACGGTCCATACCTGTACATAACGGGAAAACCTGTGTCAGTGCATTTCCCTAAAAGACTTTAGACAACAGTAAAGGTCAAACGAATGTTCATCACTGTTCTAGGTCAAAATAATAAGTAAAATCTTGGTCTTTGAAAGCAGAGTTTACAGTAAACGGTGAACATTCTTATTTGATCTAAACTACCGAAAGTCGAAAATGTTGATGTTTTGTTGGCCTGTAATACCCCCAAAATTTACAGGCCGCAATATTTAATTTCACATTATGTAAGATCAACCTTTAATCTCACAATACAAAAAATATTACATTCATGCGAAGTCTAACTTTTGAATTTTAAGGGTTTTATTTCACCCATTTTTAAGAAACTTGGAAATCTCTATTTTAGTCTGTCATGAACGATGTCATTTCTATATTTAGAAAACATATTTGAAAAAATTGTAGATACTTTGTTACTTAAGACATATAAAGCTACTATTGTGTGGAAGGATTTAGTTTTATCATCATTTTTGTTTGATGTAGAGAGATTTAAAAATGAGTAAAAAATCCACTATTGAGAAACAGCAAAAATCACAATTTTATCCCTCAACTTGACCCCCCTGGAACTTTGCCAAAATGGAATTAGACTGAAAACAAAATGCATTTTGAAACAACCCTTATAAAGGTAATCTCAAGTAAGAGAGAAATCTATTTCTTGATCCAAAGAGGTCATGAGGTTCTTACAGAGACTGCCTCTTAAGTACTTTATATAGTCAATTAAAATAAACTGTTGAGCATTGTGATTCAGCTAGTTGACTCTTGCGATGAATGGAAGAGATTTAACGCTATAGCGAAAATATTAAAGCTGGATTCCCTTTTTCTACATACCCTGTGTATATAACATAATAATGTATACAGTACCTTATGGCTGTCCTTAAAAATGTCACACAACCTGCAACAATTTTTGGTTGTTTATTATCCAGGCCCTTCAGAATTTCTTCTTGAACTGCTTCCTGTTTCTCGATTTCAAGGTACATCATACCAATATCGATGCCTTTTTGTTTTGTTTTTGGTCTGGCATTCAGGCATTTTGTTACCACCCCAGCCACAACATCAGCAGCAGCTCTAGGTTTAAACACAAGAAGTGAATGTACAGTTGAACCGAACTCGCTTAAATCGAACCCCGCTAACTCGAATAAATTTCATTTTCCTTTTGTCAAATTTACACGCGGTTAACTCGAAATGTATTTTTGAGACGTGGATCGTACATATCAGAGAGTCAAATTCAAGGACTTCTCAATGACATTCAAGACCATGTGTCGGCAAATCCAAGCACTAAATACCGAAAAGAAGACATTATTTAATATTAAACACGCCTAAAAATAATTATTCAAATTAAGCCGAAGTAACTAAAGCATTCCCATGCTCGTTGGTACCCTAAAGGATGTATATGCATGCATGTCATAGAGGTCAGATTCGCGCGCGCGAGTTTGCTTTGATTTCAAAATCCTAACAATTTAATAATTCGTATTTATATAATTTATAACTACAGTGAAACAGGCAATTTGATTGGTCAATAGCCGTGCAGGATCAGGCCATCCTGCACGAGGATTTAAAATGCCTTTGTTTCAAATGGTTTTCCAAGCAGGATAGCGTGTTCCATGCACTTGGGTATGGCGTCAAATCTCCGCCAAAATTCATGTTCGTATTTTCAACATCAATGTTTGTATTTTCAACATCAATATTTGTATTTTCAACATCAATGTTCGCATTTTAAACATCAATGTTTGTATTTTTAACATCAATGTTCGCGCATTTTCAACATCAATGTTTGTATTTTCAACATCAATGTTGGCATTTTCAACGTCAATGTTCGCATTTTCACTCTCGACTGTGAAATCAATATGAATCATATTCCAAATGAATTAGGTTCTGCACGAACAACCCTGCTCCAACTTGCAGAAAGACTAAATACTTTGCAAAGGAACGCTCAACATAGAGTTAAGCTGTTTGTCTTGATCAATCATCCTTCATCAATAATTCATTATAAATGTTTCCATCCTGAGAGAACAAAAATAACATGCTAATTCTCTTTAAACGAAATATGACGTAAGTTCAATCTGGAAACAGCATTTTTCTCCCATTACCCATCTGGAAAAATTGACTGATTAGCCCCCTTGGAAATCAAGGTCCTTGACAGGCGGGGTGGTGGTAGGGGGTTGCGGGTATTAAATGTACTCAATAGCCCAATACCGCGGTTCCTTTTATCCTTGAAATACGAACCGTCTATAGACCACAGGCGAAGTGCATAACGCACAAGATATATGTTCACACTGTATATAGAGATGTATATAAATTCTTAGTAATTTATAGTAAAGTCTTTATTTTAATATGTTTTATCAGGTTGAAAGTCATTTCCAACAAATATAAAATCGAATATGTCGTTGTTTATATAATCACAGCTTGTACAAGGCCAAGGGTCATTCATGGGGTTAATATTAGCGCACCGGGTCTGTTTTATATCGTGTATATCATATTTAAACACGACATATCAGTTTGATCAAACCACAGTTAATAGATATTAACCAAACTTAGTCAAAAAACCAAGTTAGTCTATATCGAAGGAATACCATAAGGCTTTTATTTAAGACCCCTAGATTCTAGATTGAAATTGATTCACTAAAAATGAAAATCGAAATCGGGTCAGGTCTGCTCGGTTTGTGAATATATTTGTCGAATGTGTAACTATATGAGTGCGTAATATATTTGTATTATATTTTTCGAATGCGCTGGTTGAATGTGTAAATTAAGGCAAATAGAAAGCCAAGCACGGTTTACACAAGGGTCAGTGGAATATTAGCGCACGAAGTCTTTGGGATATATTTGTCTAATATTGAAAGCAAGTTGAATGTCATCAATACCTATGGGATCGAATATGTCGTTGTTTAATCATCACTAAATAAAGAATATGTCCATCCTTTTCAACTCCGCCGAACAGCGTTGGAAAACATCGTCCGTAGATCTTTGTACTATTCTTGAAATTCAAACTTCACGAAAATTGTATACGCAGCCTGTAAACCTAAGCCTTTGATGTATGCTGTCCACTGGGAAAAAAAGTGAAATCCATACTATGAAATTTGAAATTGCAGCACAAAATCCATAGTATATCCATACTACTTCCATACTATATCCATACTATGGAAATATACAATTATTATGGATAACCAAAATCCATTCTATGACCTTCTATGGATTTTCAAAATTTTTTCCAGTGGTTCTTGAACAAGAACTCTTCTTGTGTTTGTGAAGTATTTTGTTTCGTATACATATAAGATCTTGTACTGTTCAGTGTGTGCAAATTATTTTTGCGGACACATTAAAATACTTTGTAACTTCATGACTTAGATCTGTTTATGCTTATAAATTATTGGAAAATGCACAGTCGGTTACGTATTTTTGTCATATCTGATCATTGTATGTGATTAAATGTGTATATAATATTTCAACTGTGTCCAATTTACGTAATACTTTCTTTCAGTAAATTCACAATTTGACAATAGCGATTAGCAAACAATGCAAGCTACCCACATGTTCGCAGCGCGTACCTATTTTTAAATTAATTGGAAATGCAATTGTGAAAATGCGAACATTGACGTTGAAAATGCAAACATTGATGTTGAAAATACAAACATTGATGTTGAAAATGCGAACATTGATGTTGAAAATACAAATATTGATGTTGAAAATACAAACATTGATGTTGAAAATACAAACATTGATGTTGAAAATGCAAACATTGATGTTGAAAATATAAATATTGATGTTGAAAATACAAACATTGATGTTGAAAATACAAACAATGATGTTGAAAATGCAAACATTGATGTTGAAAATACAAATATTGATGTTGAAAATGCGAACATTGATGTTGAAAATACAAATATTAATGTTGAAAATACGAACATGAATTTTGGCGGAGATTTGACGAATTGACGCCATACTTGGGATGTTGCTCGACTTTCGGAAAGCGTTATTTTTACGCTTTCCGAAAGTCTCGCGACATCCCTCGTGCATGGATCACGCAATCCTGCACGGAAAACCATTCGGTATTCCTTTATTAATTTGTCAATGCTGTGATTGAGGCGAAAGTTATGTTTATTTAAATCACAGCAATAAAGTGCATCCTTAACTTCCTATCGTTAACTTCCATCAAACCTTTCCCAAGGGAGGTCCATGACTTTTCTGGGGAGGTGCAAAAATTATCAGGGGAGGTGCAAAACTGTCCCAGGGGAGGATTATTCATGTGGTATATTGGTAAAAAACCATGTTTTGCCATTAATGGTATTTTCCTGGTAAATATTAAACATCATGTTTTCTACTAATTTACCATATACAAAATCTATAATAACCAATAATTGTATTCAGTTTTTACATTCAAAAATCGATTAATGGAATTTTTTCTGTGAGAGGTGGTTGTTCAGACAGTAGATCAAGGTATGCCAAAATTCAACTTTACTCAACTTTAGCAACAGTACAAATAAAAACTTGACAATTACAGTCGTGCCAATAGAAGCGTTCCGAAAAATGTTGATCAATTCATTTCCTAACTTCGAGGAGTTCCTCTGAACAATTCCTCAACAATTTGATAAGTTCCTTAAAAATTCCTAACTTCCTGTTTTATTGACCAATCAGATTTTATATTTTATTTTTGAGCAATCTGATTGGTCAATGAAACAGGAAGTTAGGAACTTTTTAAGGAACTTATCAAATTGTTGAGGAATTATTCAGAGGAACTCCTCGAAGTTAGGAAATGAATTGATCAACATTTTTCGGAACGCTTCTATTGGCACGACTGTAAAGCTTGTGATAATGATTTAAGGCAAACAGCAAACAAGGTATAAGAAGAGATTTGACATGAAGTAGCACTCTTGTTGTACTGAACATACTACTAGTAAGACATATTTCAATGGCAAAGTAAAACAATCTGATCTCAATATTTGTTTAAAGTTTAGTGTTTGTTCATGTTTGCATGAGGCATTGAAGTTAAGATGAGTGTATACGACCATTTAATAGAGACAAAATGCAAAAGAAAAAACCGAAACCGATTGGGACTACTTGAGGTGGGCACAGTCGCTAATAAGAGGTGGCCTCTAAATAGAATTTATTTTATCAGGGTTTGAAATTTGCAGTATCCTGATATCCACATTTGAGGATACTAAAATTTTGTTTTGGACACCAAACTGTGAATGACTTGTATCCAGATTGGATATTACAAAGTTTGTAAGAGAATTAATTAATACCTGCCAGAAATTGTTGGTGAAGCACATTCCACAAATGTCAAGACAGCATCGAGACCTTTCTCTTGTGCGACTGCATTGCTATCCACAACAAATTTCTTTAACAGACTAACATATTTGGAAAATTCATTGCTGTTCTCATCATCAATTGTCTTGAAATGCTTTACACATCCTTCATAACCACTTACTCTCGCTTTCCAAACCTAAAGAAAGTAATATTATCTTCACATCTTAAAGTGCCTATATCATGGTTTCGGAGTTTGCATATCTCGAAAGTTTGGGGTATTTTAAGACACTTTGCAATATATTTTGTTATTGAAAAATTTCATCTTGATGGATTTATTACCTCTCAAAGTTACCGGACATGACTTCAAAAGGAGAATTTTGTTGCAATAATACAAAGGAAAACTGATTTGCAATTCTCCTTTTGACGTCATGTCCGGTAATTTTAAGAGCTAATAAATCCATCAAAATGAAATTTTTCAATGACAAAATATATTGCAAAGTGTCTTAAAATACCCTAAACTTTCGAGATAGCAAACTCCAAAACCATGATATAGGCACGTTAAAGTCAAGCACGAATTAATATTATGTCACACTAAGAAATCACACAATTTTGGGCGACAAAAATGATGATGGGCACTATAGCTAGCAAAAGAAATAAAGTTCTGCCTAAAGGCCCGTTTACACGGGCGATTCTTGCTGCAATTTTTGCTGCTATTTTAGGTCAATTTTCTCCTTTTGGAGGATGTGAAGGAGTAGATGAGTTATAATTTTTCCTGGTTATGAAATCTTATAACAACGTCTTAAGTAATCTACTCCTTCACTAATTCCATGCCATTTCAACACAGGCATGACACCCACCCTCTCCAAATTTCTTTATATTTCGCAGGCAGTTAACATTGTGTGGGAATAGTTTAAGTTCAAAATTTGAGCATCGTAGCTGCAAACAACTCTGAAACCTGGTAAAGCAACAGGGCCCTCCAGCCTTCCTATAAATATTCTTAAAATCTTGAAACAATTTATATCGAAACCCCTGGAAATTGTGTTCAATGCTTCTTTCGCTACAGGTATAGTACCCAGTAAGTTTAAGATCGCCAGAGTTATCCCAGTATTCAAAAAGGGGTTACAAATTAATATAAATAATTATCGACCAATTTCTCTTCTTTCTGTTTTTAACAAATTACTGGAAAAACTCATGTATAACAGACTTAGTAGTTTCCTTGAGAATTTAAATATTCTTTATGATAATCAGTTCGGTTTTCGATCTCATTATTCAACTGAGCATGCTATTCTTTCTATAGTTGATAAAATTCAACAAGCAATTGAAAAGAAACAATACTCTTGTGGGATTTTCCTGGATTTTAGTAAGGCATTTGACACGGTTGATCATACAATACTACTGAAAAAGTTAGAAAAACTCGGAATTCGTGGGATTGCCAAAAAATGGTTTGATTCTTATCTAACGGATAGGAAACATTTCATCTCAATAAACAATATTTCATCTAATCTATATGACATCACTTGCGGAATTCCCCAAGGGTCAGTGCTAGGACCTCTCTTATTTCTTTTATACATCAATGATTTTCATAAGTGCTCTAATTTTTTCGATTCTCATCATTTTGCTGATGATTCAAATTTGTTTTGCAAAAATAGATGCTTACTTGAACTTGAAACCAATATAAATATAGAATTAAGTAATATAGATACTTGGTTATGTGCTAATAGGTTATCACTTAATGTTGAAAAATCAAACTTTCTTATATTTCATCCTTATCAGAAAAATATACTAACAGACATAAAACTTTCGGTAAGAAATAAAGTCATTAAACAAGTAGATCACATAAAGTATCTTGGTGTTTTTTTCGATCCTCATTTAACTTGGAAAAAACAAATTACGTTCATTTCAAAAAAGATTAAAAGAAGTATA